GCCCCCCCCTCCCCCTCCCGCGGCGCCGCGCAGCTGCCCGGGGGCTCCATGGCTGCCCCGACCCGACCGTGGCGAAGGAGGAAATCAATGGGCGGCTCCTGCCCCGCTGCAGCGCCCGCCTCGTCCGGACCCTCCCCGCCGCCCGCCCACCCGCCCGCCGGGCAAGGGGAAGCCCTGCTCCGCCTGGGGCGCGCCCGCTGTCTCGCTCCCCTCGGCGCGGTGAGGCTGAAGTTGACTCCTTATTCCCGGTTCCCGCTCCCGTTTTCAAAGCGAATCTAGACCCAACACAAACTTGCTATTAATGATGAATTCCACATCCTAAAGAGAGGGACTGTCATTAGCTATGCAGATGCACGAATTAATTTGTAAAGGCTCTTGGTTGGACTTTTTGAGGGGCTCTTGGCTGGAGCCTCCTCAGGAGTCATGGCTGCAGGTTTTTCTGGAGTCTTGTCTGCTTTCTTAAAGACAGTGTCCAAGGAAGTTTGGAACAAGGGACTGGATTTGGGGCTGGTATTATAGCTAGAAATCCTTCTTGGGACACCCCAGACCATGTCTCTGTACCACTGGGGGACTCTGCTCGAGGTGGAGTCAGTTGACAGCCTGGCATGGCCAAACCAGGCTTTGGGCCGGGCAAGTCTTTGGTCAAAGATGTCCAGGAGAGTCCCCCAGTGGCACAGAGGTGTGGTCTGGGGTGGCCCAAGAAGGATTGCCGGGTATAATCCCAGCCCAAACTCCCAGCCCAAAATCCGGGTCCTTATTCTGTTCCATTTACTTAGCACAGTGGCTGGGGTGCTGGCTGTTGTCAGCCTGGCATGGCCAATCCATGCTTTGGGCTGGGTAAGTCTCTGGTCACAGATGTCCAGGACAGTCCCCCAGGACCACAGAGTCATGTTCTGGGGTGGCCAAAGAAAGACTTGTGGGTATAATCCCAGCCCAAAATCCATGTCCTTATTTGGGTCCATATACCTAGCACAGTGGCTGGCATGCTGTCAATTAACAGCCTGGCATGGCCAAATGGTGATTTGGGTCAGGCAAGTCTCTGGTCAGAGATGTCCAGCAGAGTCCCCCAGTGGTACAGAGACATGGTCTGGGGTGGCCTAACAAGGTTTTCTGAGTATAATCCCAGCCCAAATTCCAGGTCCTTGTTTGGGTCCATATACTTAGCACAGTGGCTGGGGTGCTGGCTGTTGGCAGCCTGGCATGGCCAAACTGCGCTTTGGGTCAGGCAGGTCTCTGGTCAGAGACGTTCAGGAGCATCCCCCAGTGGCACAGAGGCATGGCGTGGTGTAGCTCTGGAAGGATTTGTAGCTATAATCCCAGTGCCAAATCCAGTTCCTTGTTCAGGTCCGTCCGTGTATTTAGCACAGTGGCAAGGGTGGGGTTAATTGGCAGCCTTGCCCGGCCAAACTGTGCTTTGGGCCAGACAAGCCTGTGGTGAGATGCATCTGGTAGAGTCCCCTGGTGGCGCAGAGGAGCACTGTGGAGTGGCCCAAACAGAATTTCTAGCCATAATCCCAGCCCGAAAGCCAGTTCCTTATTCAAGCCATTATACTTAGTATAGTGGGCATAGGGGCTGTTAGTTGGCAGCCTGGTACGGCCAAACTGTGCTTTGGGCCTGGGGGGACTGTGGTCAGGTTCTTT